GAAGATCCGGAGTTGATATCCGGATTTTAAGTTTTCCAGGTCCATCCTCCCCCACGAAACAGTGTTGGATCCTCATATGCCCACGTTATAATTAACTTGAATTTATTTAAGACATATTTATCGCACTGAACAGAGAAATGGCTGAAAGTGACTAAGTCTTGAGGCTGAACAACACTTGATGTGAGGTGTTCGAAGTTTAATTCTTCTGAAATATTGTGACCAAATTTATTTGGAATCTTATTTGTAGATAATCGATCATCAAGGTAATTAGCATCTATCAAAATTGTATTAAGTTTTTGATCATCATTTGATGCATCTGGCATATTTTCTGGTAAGAGAGAATCTTGATAATAAGATTTGTCAAAAACATCTGTCGCAGACTGATGAGAACCATTTGAAGCAGTTGTATTCAGTGCACTGCTCGATTTGTTTTCTGTTTCATGGGTGGTTATTGCGATAATTCTATGAGGATTTACCAGGGAGTGTGTTTGTGAGCTGGATAAGTCACCGTCTGCACATGCTGTTTTGGGGATAATGGAGTTTGAGTCCATTACCGGCATGTTTCTGGAATGGAGAGGACTGGACCACTGGGCGAATCTTGAGTGACTGTTGTACCGTTTGAAATACGGTTTATCGGGGATTCATTGGGGCTGCAAACATTTTCCAGCTCTGTGTGCAGTTTAGAGATCAATCCATCCACTTCCGTTGCATCTCCAAAGCATGAGTGATTTAACAGCTGCGTGCGTAATTTGACTAAAAACTCCAACTGTCTTTCAAATAGCAGCTGTACTCGATCGGAAGGGAGAGTCATTTTTTTTTATTCAGCACCGGTAATGAAAATTACTGTTTGATTAATGACCAATGTTGCTGAAGGACACTGATGACAAATCTGGATGCTGAAGGCTGACTTTGGATTGTTCTTTTTTTTACCCCGTCGCCAATTGTTATGGCTCAAAGTGACAGCCGATTATATGACAGTGACTTATCGATCGGACCAAGGATTCAGAATCTCGATAGTCTATTCCGGTCCGTTGTCCCCAACTCTGTTAACTCGATCAAGAAGTCTGGGTAAGGTGTAGAAAGTGTATTCTGCAGACACACAGCAGATAACAAGTCAGGCAGGCAGATCAGATCAAGCATACAAGTCAAGCGTATTTATACAAATATTTACAATCGATATTGTCATGGAAGATTTTTGAACATTAATCAACAATTGACTGCTATTTGAACATTTAATCGATAGTTCATCAATTGACCTATTTGTACATTTAATCGATAGTTCATCAATTGACCTATCTGCACATTTAATCGATAAGTAAATTACAAAATTTGAGTTTTGGGGATCTATCGTCCCCAACATCTACAGGTAAGCATGTAAGCATATTTTCAAGTTGTGGGACTCGATTGCAAACCTTCGGTTTCCAAGGACAAGGAGGTGGAGAGAGATAACTTCCTTCCGAAGACTGACTCGTAACTAGGATCCGCTTCGTTCGCTGAGACCAGATTGCACTATATAAAAGATATCTAGAAGTTTTCAGTACGGGTTCTACTTACAATACAAACAACAAAAAGTGAGACTGCTGTTTGATAACTTTTACTTTGTAAGTATTAGCTGTTTCGGCCAGCGATAACTGACAACTTTAGCTCCGATCATCCTGTTTTATTTGCATGGGCACGGGCAGAAAGGAGAGTCGATGTATTCTAGGCATTGGATGAAGGAAGACGATATCAATGAAAAATTACCGACAGACTTGATGATACTTGTGCCCTGGCTGCTGAAGTGTCACAAGTCACTTTCAGTGAGTTCTAAATAATTAAGCAAGACACTAGTTTCATCGATGCACAAACAGCAGATTAACACTTTATTATCCTCTGTAAACTTACTCAACAATAAACACAGTATTAAAAGTAGTCATTATTACTTTCATTAACCAACTGTTAATGCTGTTAAATGTTGTATGAGATTGCATTTTCAGCCGTAAACATATCTGTGTTTATTATAATCGTAATTGCGACATTACGTAAACGTAGACCGGTATTGCTTGGCGTACGTAAGTACAGGTGTTTCGTGCAAAGTAGATTATTAAGCGGGCACTATGGTAATATCAGTACATATATTCAAGCACCTCGTTGATTGCACGATAGTTATAAAAGCAAATGACTTATAACATTGCACACACTTATATTTATATATGGAGATAAAGAAACGTACATGCAACAAATAATATATCTTCACGTCTACAGCAAATATCGATCGTGTTTACTGGATAGCAATTGATTACTAGCAAGATCTCAGCTGAAAATTAAGTTCATCTAAACCATCAGTCTCAAATCACGACTCTTGCTATGGTGGTCCTGTAGCGTGGCGTCGAGTCGCGGTTGACTGTGAACACCGCTACCAAGAAACACGTGCCAAGTTAATCAGAAGGCGAAGGTTGAACGTAACCAAAGAAACCCATAAAATCTCCGAGAAGCCAAATATCAGAAGGCAGTTAATGGACCAAGTCGAGTTATATTTGCTGGCGATCTCGTGGCATCGAAAGGATACCGAGATCGTGCCAGGATACAAGCTTGGTTACAGAACGTAACCGAATTCGCGCGAAGTCACAATCAAAAGTGCAAGTATAAGAATGGAAGCACAAAATAGCTGTCATTAGCACAGTCAAACAAAAGCACGTTAAAACAAACACTGGTACAGTTGGTTATAATAATAATTGTTTTTATTAAACCGGTCGTGCTCTCGTGATAAATGTGAGTCACTACAGGAGCCCCTCGCTAGAAAGGGTTTACACCTTCGATAAATAGCGGTTTAAATCGTGGGACTGATCGGCTGACGAGCGATTATAGGACGGGAGAATTGGCGAACAGGAAAGCGATCGTTGATCGTCGAGTTGTCAACGAAGGTCGTTTTCGGAGAACGGTACCAGGAGCGATGTGCTGTATGTATTGCTTGAGTTGGCATGCTACACCAGAGTGGTTTGTATCCAGAATCTGAAGATTGCGTTCGTAGGGAATGCGGACCAGAATCACTGCAGACGAAGGACGAAACCACGCTGAGCCAAAAGACCAGAAGCGACCGTTACGACCAAGTTAGAGACCGAGCGTATGCCAAGCATTCGAAACCAATATATCGACTGAGTGCGTTGACAAGAGCGTGGGTGGCCAATCCAGCTTTCGCCAAAGTTGACTGAAGTCGACGGAACCAAACGGAGATGGTCGAAGGCGTGGGCTCAGGAAACAAAAAGAAAATCAAAAAAGAGAAGAGTGTAGCATGCATGTAGCATGGGAATAGTCCTACACCGTATCGGTTGTTAACTGTGCGGCTAGTCGTGGAAACGTACGGGCAACCGTACTCGGCGACCGGAACGTGAGACGACTGTCTTGTTCATATCTCGTGAGCCTGCAATCTCATCCGAGGTCAGAGGCGGCGTGGTCTGCTGAACTGGACGTGAGACTGTCGTCTCGTCCGTAGACGGTGCAGATGACGCGTGCTGTTGACCGGGACGTGAGAATGAAGTCTCAGGTGTATCTAGCGTGGGACCAGAAGATGGTTTGAGGATCCCGCTAGTAGGTTTGAAAGGTCTAGCATTGAATCTCAGGTTGTCAGACAGAGCACTGTCATCGACGTGTGCTGGTTTGAGACAATCAATGTTGACGATCTCGACGCGGCCATGTCGATCAACCTTGAAAGTCTTTTCGTGACGAGCGATCACGTGAAAAGGGCCTTCGTAAGGTTGTTGCCAAGGTTTGCGTACCGAATCTACTCGTATGAAAACATGTGAACAGGTAGATAACTCTCGAGGGAGGGCGACCTGTCGATGTTGTATTCGAGTTGACACCGAAGTGAGCGTTCGCATAAATGCAGACAGTCGATGGACGTAGTCGGATTTACCGAAATCAGGTCTGCTCCGTGGTGTGAAGAATTCTCCGGGCAGACGCAATGTCGTGCCGTATACCAGTTCAGCGGCGGAACATTGTATATCTGCCTTCAAGCTCGTTCGAATACCTAAGAGGACGAGCGATAAGGTTTCGTACCAGTTGTCGTTCTCGTGTGCTCGTAGAGCACTTTTAAGTGGTGCTGGGGGGTAGACGTTAATGCGTATGCGAATGCATTCCGTACCAAACAGCCGGGTCAGCGAGGAGAATAGTGAATAGGAGAAAATTTCTCCAATAAAGCGTGGAATTCATCGTCACGCGGATAAAAATTGCCAGGGGTTCGGTACACATAAATGGGAGTTTATTATATTAATACTATTTTTATCGTTATCCGTCATGTCGCGTATATTATATATTAAAAAATACGGAAATATACGACAGACGTGGATAGTTAAATCATATACTCACCGAATTGGCTTCTTTGGAAGATTTGACCAGAGGTTGAGGCGTGTTCCAAAATACAGGTCACCAATTGTAGCGTGGCGTCGAGTTGAGATTAACTATGAACACCGCTACCAAGAAACACGTGCCAGATAAATCAGAAGGCGAAGATCGAACGTAACCAGATTTATTTCGTTGGCGATCTCGTGGTATTGAACGAATACCGAGATCGTGCCAAGGAATGGTACAAGTGGAAGCAGAAGACCGGAAAGCTAACAAATTATTTATTCTGGGCTTGTGAACTTATGTAAAGTGTTCCCGAAGATTTGGTTTGGAATTATAAAGTAGACGAGAACATGTTAAAGACAAGTTTACGAATAAGTAATCAAAGGAACTGTGACGAAGTCACCTCTAGTATTTCAAATGGATGGAAGTTAACCAGATAGTAAATTTCTTCATTGAGCTGAGATGTATCGATTCCATAATGTACACGCCAGCACATTTCACGTGCCAGCATGTTGCTCGTGAGCGAGACTGCAGGAATTACTTTCTTCCATCCCGATATGATGTGACATTAATATTTGATCGGGTGTGTAAATTTGATGGTGTGTCCAGTAAAACAAATGTTATCAGTATCAATGTGGAACGCTTACCAGCTAATTACTTACATCTGTTGTGAACAGTTAACTATTACTATACTCTGAAAGGTAGACTGCATCTTGAAAGTTTTATAAATTGTAAGTTATATTTATGAGGCACTTGATTTTCTATTGATGCGATTGCAAGCTGAAGATTGAATTCGAACGTGTTTGAACAACTTGCGATTGTTAAGTACTAGGGATCGCCGCGCCGCATGAATTCCGTTGATGGAGCTGTACCAACAGTTCCTTCTGACTGAAGATATTCTCAAGAATATTATAAATGATGCGAAGCAGAACATTCAAGCGACATTCAAAGAAATTACTGCTGCTTTGGGAGGCATTGAAACCCATGTGGATGGCGATGTTTTGAGTGAAGACATTGAGAAACAGTATGTTCTACATAATTAATTAACTAGTTTTAAAGGGTTGACAAAACTGAAGACCCCCTGCTAAAACCAGTAGTTAGTCAAAAGCGGAAAGTAAAAACGAGCATTCACTCCGCGAGATGTGAGCACAGCCCTCTAAACCGTTCAAAACTAAACCAGGTAGTGGAGTCGCATAAATCGCCGACCAAGTTGTTAAAGAACTCCAGAAAGTTAAGTAAGCAGTTGTGCATTGCGAAAGATAGTCCGAAGCAAACGGAACTTAAAGATGTAAGTTGAAGTACTATATTGAGCATGTCATTTAGTGAATTTTAAGTAATTGTGAGGTTAGACTCAGTGTGTTAGGGAGTGATGGTAAATCAGTTGGTGAGGTTGTAAATCTTCGTCGACTGAGATGGATAGGCCATGTATTATACAACCACTGATTACCATGGCACGCAGTGCTGGCTAGCGTTGGAGACGGATGGAAAAAGTTAGGGGCGGCAAAACCAAAACGTGGCATCAGGTCATGGAGCCACTAACTACTGGTCTGAGCCATGTTTGTAGATAAAGACTACTTGGTTGGGGTCCGCTTGACTATCGTAACCAATGGCTGGAGACTGAGTGACATGGCTCAAAATCGATCACAATGGTGTGGGTGTATACTCTCGTTGCCTTCCCCTAAACCATGAGGTTAAAATTGCCTTATACCATTCTTTCTACGAATTAATTCTTTCTCGCTGTATCACATCGTTATGTTCAATCTTTATATATATATATATATATATATATAATCAATTGCTTCAGTAGATTTTGTGCTCATCTTGTACTAATGAGGTATGGCAACTCGGACCGATGCATATATGTGCATAGTCCTACGTTGCAACTAATTGACTGGATTAGTGAACTTTGCAGGTTGCGGTAATTACGCAACCCATCCATCCTAAGTTGTTCTTTTCTACCCTGGTTCTTACAAGAAATCAGTTATCTGTCAGCTTTGTAGATTTTAAACCTAGCTACAGTTCCTGCTTTGGTTGTAATGAAGGTTCCTCGTTCTTATGTTCAGGAAATTTCCGTATGGGAAATGAAGACTTAATGTATTTCACTTATTGGTGACTTTGAACCAAACTGTTCTATAAATGGTTGGGAGTTTGTATCATGGGGAGGTTTCTAATATATCTTAATTAGAATGCCCACCTCCACTTATTTAAACACATAACCAAGTATATCCAAGGATTTATTCATCTCAACTCCTGATATCCTAACATTGTTTTGTCGTTAATACTCACTTAGCACTACGTCAAGATTGACTGAAGACTTTCAGATTTCATGATAAATGACCAAAGTTTAAACCCATAGGGTATAGATTTCTTGTATTTACACCAAAACTGTTATTACATGATTCCGAATAATGTGCAAATACAGGCTGTTTTTGGTTTTGCCTCGATATTCTGGTTAATTGGTTCCTGTAAACAAACTATACTGTAACGTATAATCCTGAAAATCTGACGCGTTAACGTCAACATATGCTATTAACACGGACAAAGCAATAAGTAACGGTCATGAAGGCATTTGCACTGACTTGTTCCTCGTAATTAGTGGTTTTCTAAGCACAGCTTTTTCTGCTTCGCTTCCCAGATCTTTCAGCCAAGTGATAATATCTGCGATCTGAAGAGCCATAAGCCCCAGCTTTTAGATCCAAGCATCCTTCAAACAACTCTCTGCCCCACAAATAAAAAAAGTCTGATTTCAGCTTATATTTCCAACTCCGAACCAGTAAACGAGTGGACTACCAATGTTGAGGTAAGCGTAATTTAATATGAAATTTCGGTGACATCCTAATTTTTCGCTAATCGATTTTGATATCTTATTTTTAACTAGCAGGTCTCAGTTACCTTTATACTAAAGATCGTACTACTGATTAACATTACTGACATGGTAGTGTAGTAGTTAATGCTCTTGGTTTCCAACCATTAAACGTTAGGTTTAAACCTTACTACCTAGTTTTGGTTTAATCAACCAATTAGTACCATTAGTTGTCACGCAATAAGTGCACTTCTTTTCATACATTTAAACATCATCTTACCATAAAGATTTTTCTATTTAGATTCGTATTTCATACTTTGTTAGGAAAGAAAGTGTGATCAAATTAACGAGAGCGAACTTTATATCTCCAAAACTGGGGACATACAAATATCTGCTCAAAAGTTGTCAGGAAAGAAAAGAACACTATCGATGGATACTTCAGATTACCAACCACTCGTTAAACGTACCAGTTTTAACAAGGTAGAAGTTTTTCCTTCGTTTGTTTCCATAGTTGGTTCTCAGAATACTTGCCTTTCATGTTCTACCACATTTTTTATTATGATGCCACTATTCATTGTCCTATATTCCTGTTATACCACAGTTAACTTGCAGGATCCGACTTACTCCTACCAAATGTGAAAATCTGTTGTATAATTTGTTGAAGTCACAATCATCCCAGTGTCTTGTTGCCAGCCTCTTAAATCTTCCACTAATAATATTACTTTACACAATGTCAAAATATTAAGTGGGATTGATTTGGAATTTATGTGGATTGTGTTTAAGTTTCAGTTCTTCCACCTAGTCCCTTAGTTGCACACATGTAACCTACGATTCACAAAGTTTTTTCCGTCTTGGGTGTTTGATATACCATATGGTTCCTGTTGTAACGTTAAGGTGTGGCTGCACGTTTTTGATAAGCAGCGTTATTTATCGATCGCGATCTGTGACAGTGACACGGAAAACACGTACGGACGACCTAGTGCCCTGATTGGCCCTGCTTCGCTGTCCGTCCTAGCCCAGTTGAGTGAAGAACACAATTCACAGCCTCGGAGTTATGAATCATTGTATTTCAAACATACTCTATTTATATACCAAGCAAACAAACCACATCGTACCATAAAATAGGAAACAACATTTGTACAATATTTAACAAGTGAAATAAACATCAACCAATAAGAATGTACATTTAAGGTTCAAGGACACCATTGGACTTAACATGATAATTATTGGTCTCATTTTCCGACTATCCCAACACCTCCCCTTTTTCGAAAGATGCGGAGTTCATAACTGCGTTTTAAAATTTTCCTCGTCCGTCCTCCCCCGCGAAATAACGTTGGGTCCTCATATACCCAAGCAACAGTTAGTCTGACTCTATTTAAAGCATATTTCGCGCATTGAGTAGAGGGTTCACTAAAACTGACTAGATGATGAGGATTAGCGACACCAGACATGAGGTCATTAAGGTTTGATTTTGGTGCAACATATTTTTTAGATCTCCAAAATTCCATCACTGGATAATAGGTCACTAAAATAGACAGCATCTTCGAAATTTGTATTTGATTTCTGACCATTATTTGATGCACGGGAAACATTTTCTGGCACGAGAGGTTCTTCTTGTAAGCTGGATACCTCACATGTTTCAGGCACAGTGGGATTTGAACCCACAACAGGGCATTCTTCTGAATTGGGCACTTCTGGATCGCTGGACGGATTATGAGCGACTGCCTCATTTGCATTACTGATCATAAGGGATTCATAGAGACTGTTGTTTTTATCTTCATATGTCCTGCAGTCATTCTCGAGTTCAGTTTGTAAGTGAGAAATGAAGTCATCAGTTTCTTTCACATCTCCGAAACATGGGAGATCTAGCAGTCGCGTTCGTAAATAGTCCAAAACACGCTGTTGCTGGCGATATAGTAGTAGCTGAAATTGATCGGGAAGGCTAGTCATTTTCTGAGTCAGCAGGATAATGAGAAATACTGTAATGGATTAACAACCAATGATTCCCAAGGACGCCGATGACAAATCTGGATACTGATTGGTCAAAATAATTATGCTGAATCTCGTCCAATTAGAGGGTTCAAAATTTTCTCTACCCCGTCGCCAATTGTTGTAACGGGTGTGTTGTGACTGCAGGTTTTAGATACGCAGCGTTATTTATCGATCGCGATCTGTGACAGTGACACGGAAAACACGTACGGACGACCTAGTGCCCTGATTGGCCCTGCTTCGCTGTCCGTCCTAGCCCAGTTGAGTGAAGAACACAATTCACAGCCTCGGAGTTATGAATCATTGTATTTCAAACATACTCTATTTATATACCAAGCAAACAAACCACATCGTACCATAAAATAGGAAACAACATTTGTACAATATTTAACAAGTGAAATAAACATCAACCAATAAGAATGTACATTTAAGGTTCAAGGACACCATTGGACTTAACATGATAATTATTGGTCTCATTTTCCGACTATCCCAACACCTCCCCTTTTTCGAAAGATGCGGAGTTCATAACTGCGTTTTAAAATTTTCCTCGTCCGTCCTCCCCCGCGAAATAACGTTGGGTCCTCATATACCCAAGCAACAGTTAGTCTGACTCTATTTAAAGCATATTTCGCGCATTGAGTAGAGGGTTCACTAAAACTGACTAGATGATGAGGATTAGCGACACCAGACATGAGGTCATTAAGGTTTGATTTTGGTGCAACATATTTTTTAGATCTCCAAAATTCCATCACTGGATAATAGGTCACTAAAATAGACAGCATCTTCGAAATTTGTATTTGATTTCTGACCATTATTTGATGCACGGGAAACATTTTCTGGCACGAGAGGTTCTTCTTGTAAGCTGGATACCTCACATGTTTCAGGCACAGTGGGATTTGAACCCACAACAGGGCATTCTTCTGAATTGGGCACTTCTGGATCGCTGGACGGATTATGAGCGACTGCCTCATTTGCATTACTGATCATAAGGGATTCATAGAGACTGTTGTTTTTATCTTCATATGTCCTGCAGTCATTCTCGAGTTCAGTTTGTAAGTGAGAAATGAAGTCATCAGTTTCTTTCACATCTCCGAAACATGGGAGATCTAGCAGTCGCGTTCGTAAATAGTCCAAAACACGCTGTTGCTGGCGATATAGTAGTAGCTGAAATTGATCGGGAAGGCTAGTCATTTTCTGAGTCAGCAGGATAATGAGAAATACTGTAATGGATTAACAACCAATGATTCCCAAGGACGCCGATGACAAATCTGGATACTGATTGGTCAAAATAATTATGCTGAATCTCGTCCAATTAGAGGGTTCAAAATTTTCTCTACCCCGTCGCCAATTGTTGTAACGGGTGTGTTGTGACTGCAGGTTTTAGATACGCAGCGTTATTTATCGATCGCGATCTGTGACAGTGACACGGAAAACACGTACGGACGACCTAGTGCCCTGATTGGCCCTGCTTCGCTGTCCGTCCTAGCCCAGTTGAGTGAAGAACACAATTCACAGCCTCGGAGTTATGAATCATTGTATTTCAAACATACTCTATTTATATACCAAGCAAACAAACCACATCGTACCATAAAATAGGAAACAACATTTGTACAATATTTAACAAGTGAAATAAACATCAACCAATAAGAATGTACATTTAAGGTTCAAGGACACCATTGGACTTAACATGATAATTATTGGTCTCATTTTCCGACTATCCCAACAGTTCCACGGTTATCAAAAGGAAAAAATTACAACTACGGCAATTTGGTCAGAAAGATCACTTGGCAAAACAAATACATTCTATCGCTTAAAAATCGCAATTAGTAATTATGTGCGGAAAGGTTTTCTGGAATTTTATTTCTGGTGTACTGAAGTTCTATGTACCTAGCTTCCATAATCCCATTTGTCAAATATTTATTCGTAATCGTCTTAGGACTTGGCACGAATGTGAGTCTCCCCAAGTTGTGACATCAAGATGAAATTAATAAGTTGAATGAAAAAGAAATTAAAATGGCAATATCAATGATGGTAATAAAGACTAAACTTAGGGAATGTCTTTTTAAAAGGAATAAGAGTATGAACCTCAGGTTTTGGGGAAAGATAGGTATCTTCACCACTGCAATCGATTACGAACCGTTCTTCAACCTCAGCCACGTAATCAATAGTAAATACCAATGTACATCCTACATGCATAATTCTCAGTTCAGCACACAACTATGTACGTTAATAAGTTTTACTCAGAATTTAAGTTTATGTACTGGGTTTGAACTCGTTACCCAATGATCCAAAACAGTAGACACTGACATCGTTTTACACATGGTAATAAACTATGTAGTTGAAATTGATTTTGATAGTTTTGTGTTTAGTCTGATTCCTACCCAGGCGTTAGTAATCTTGCAACTATGCGTAAACGTAAATTATGGTATGTCTTTTAGCTACATTCAGTGATGGCTTCACATCTTGCTGTTACTATTATGTAGTATCTTTATCTTTCAGACAGGGTTGAATGCAAAGTCAAAACATAATGTCGAAGATGAGGCGTCGCCGAATGATGAACAGTTACTGAATCTGACTGTGTCTTTAGGTCATGCTCCTGCAACTACAACATCGTCCTACACTAATACCACAAAGTCTCCTAGCCTCGAGTCAGCTACTTCGCTTTCCGATTCATCAAGTGCTCCCCCACGAAGTAATATAAATGGCAACAATAGTACATTTGTAAGCAAATCACCATTTGGTGACTTATCAAACATACAGAAAGTGCCGTGCCCTTCCATATTTTCAACTGAAACTCAAATGAAACACATCCCAAGACTTCCAGTTCCCGCAACTGATAAGAGGATTACCTCTCTTGAAAACAAAGCTGCTAGTACTTGTGGCAAATCGCGTTTGTTTTCATCCACTGAAAGATTGGGTGGTGTTTCGAGGCTCAATTCTCTAAATCATCCCACTCAGGCATCAAAACCAAGAACAGGTAAGTCTTCCAAATTTTCTATCTGATACCGAGCAAGTTACCGTGACCTTTTATTCTACGTAAAATCCTCGTATGTTTTACACAAATGGCGTCGGCTGTGTTGAAACATAGATACCTTAGCCTACAGGGTTAAGTTCATTGCTTATCAAATCAATCCTGACAAGGTTCACATACGCCATATAAAATAATATGATCAGTGCTGTAAGAATATTAGGCAAGACCATTAAATGTAGTGGTTGAAATTTTATCGTTGACATCCAGTGGTTAGGTTTCAAATCGGACGAAACTCGTGCTGGTTTCCACTCTTAACCACTATTCAAATTATTAAAAAAAACTACTAGGGTCTATTAGAAACAAACAAGTTGTCATGTAAAGCTTGTACTTCCACTTTTATGGACATTTGTTTTGGTTGTGGAAAAACTGCTACTTACTATTGTACAGTAAAAACGAAGGCTCATATTGCTCAACGCCAGGAAGAAAGTAAGGCTACGTATATCGATACGTTTATGCAACAACCGCCGACTACAACTAATCAAAATGTACAATAAAATAAGCATCCCAGCAATATGTAAATTTGAATTTATTGGATTCGCAATAGTTAATATTAAGTAGTCAGTAATTTAACGTAGGAATGCAATTTGCAGTATCAATAGATTATTTGCTCTATTTAACAAATACAACCAAACTTCAGAGTTATATATTTTGCTCCTTCCTAATAAAGTTCATAAACATACCTGAAAAGTCTGAATCAGAATTGCATCTTCGTTAAATATGAATTTTTATTCCTTTTTCAGTTAGTACCAATAACAAATCGTCTTCAGCATAGAATCAACAAGCTGCCACTTGTTTATCAATATAATCTATTTCTGAAAACTATATGCAGTCTCCCAATGTAATCTCTGTAGACTTCTCACGTAGAATACGCTATTACACTTTGCTTTTATTTATCTGATAAGCACACAAACTACCAACAGTTTCATAGCAGTATCTAAAATTGAAATCTTGAGATAGTTTCCATATCACATAAAGGATGCACTAAAACCAGACCAAAAGTAACATAATGAATAAGAAACAACATCGTTGTTTTGTTGTTCACTAGTCCCAGTTTTTATTCACTGTCCTCGAGTTGTTTGCACAGCATTACAATCCATTAGTGGTTCCACCCCATGTTTTCATGCCTCATGAAAAAAGGCAGCAGGCCCTGACAGGTTTACTCCCGAGATTTTTAAGGATGGCGGTCCAGTATTAGCAGTGAGGTTGACTGAGGTCTTAGGTAAAATCTGGGAACTGGACGTAATCCCATCTGACTGGTCTCAATAACTGATTGTGCCAGTCAATAAGGACAAAAGTCCTCTTGTGACAGTCACAGAGGAATCAGTTTGACTAATATAGTGTCTAAAATATTAGCTTCACTGATACTTCGACGCCTAACTAAAGCTCGTGAAGAGCAGATTAGAGAGTAGAGGATATTCGTAGGTCACTAGTATTCGGTCATAGGTGTCTTCGAAGCATTGCTCGTATATCCTGGGACCACCGAGTAAGTGATGTAGCTGTTAGACGTACTAGGTAAGGATGTCAAGTCAATTGATGTAGTAGTGAAACCTGATCAGTTGAGATGGCTTGGATACGTGTTACATATGCCTGACGACTTACTGCCCCGACAAGCGATGTTTTATGGTATGGGAGTAGGTTGGAAGAAAGCTAGGGGCAATCAGACCAAAGCGTAGCACAAATCCATGAAGTCACTGACAAGTGAACAGAGCTGTGTTGGTAGGTGTAGACTACTTCGTTTGGATCCTCGAGACGACAGCAACCGATGGTTAGAGACCATGAATGACATGGCTCAAAATCGTTTGCAGTGACACAGGTGCATCCACCCTTTGTGTTCTCCCAAATTCTAATCTCAGTTCTTCATGTTCCTTTCCTTTTTTTCTCTTTCCAAATTTATTTCACTGGATTATACTCCTTGAATAACATCTCCAAACCGTAATGTTTCCGATTACTGCTTATACTTTTACTACCTCTACTACCACTGTGGGATTTGGATCGACAATCGTATCTCTGTGCTAATGTGGTATGGCAACCTGAATTGGTGTACGTCCGTCCGAAGTTCTACGTTGTTGCTGACTGACTTTCATGCCTTAAAGATATATATGTTAATTAGTATGTTCCTTCATTTCCTTACTATTGACAAGAAATACAAATTCTCGAGCCGTGATGTGTTTAAACCACACGTGCGAATAAATTGAAATGATATAAAATTGATTTCACAGTTTTATTTTCCAGGTTATTATATATTGTTACTTTTGTTGCTCGTATGTAGGTTCGAAGTTAAATTCCATCAACGAAAAAGTATCCGTTAATACATCCATAAATGGTTACTCTAATAAGCAGAAGAATCGATCAGGTTCCGTTTTATCTGATAAGGAACAGCGTATGGAAGCCAAAAGGCAAGTTTTTATTGAACAGATGGAGAAAAGAGAAGAGCGCCTGCGAGCTTTCCAGGACGCTCAAAAGCAAAAAATGGAAGCTCGTAAAAAGGCGAATGAAGAACGTTTTCTTGCTGTCCAACAACGATATCAACAGATGCTGCAGGGAAATCATCTTCAACTGAAAGTATGTATTTAATCTTTGTCCACTAAACTACTAAGATTATCTTATCGCTTTTGTTCTTTTTAACCACTTCTATATTTTGGACATTTTGGAATTTAGTGATTTAAGTGATAAAAATATGCTAACTTACGTCTGTTGCCCCTCGTGCATGAGCACAGACCACTCATCAGGATTCTCCATCGAGCTCGGTCCTGGGCAATCCTCTCCAGTTGCTATTCATTCTTTTGATATCTGCTTTCAATTTCCAACTCAATCTGTTTCCTGGTTTTCCTATCTCCTTTTCTCTTCAGGATTCTAAGTTAGCGATTGCCTCGTGATACAGTCTGATGATTTTCAATATGTATGTCCCATTCGTCTTCGTTATCTTTTCCTAATTTCCTTTTCAGCAGGAAGTTGGTTTGTTCTCTCCCACAGTAGGCTGTTGCTAATTGTATCCATCCAACGGACGTTGAGTATCTTGTGTAGACAATTGTTTATAAACACCTGTACTTTTTTGATGATGGTTGTGGTAGTTGTCCAAGTTTCAGCTGCGTACAATAGAACTGTATTGAGGTTCGTATTGAATATCTTGACTTTGATATTGCTTGAGAGACAATTGTTCTGGGTCCCATATGTTCTTCAACTGTAGAAATGTCCTCGCTTTACCAATCCTTGCCAGGTAGATGAAGGTTTCCAAATCTTCTCCATCAAGTGTGATTAGGTTGGTGTTCTTTGTGTTGTATTTGAGGGTCTTGGTGTTTCCTTGTGTACGTTGAGGCCTACTGATGCAGAGGCTGCCGCTACACTAGTTGTCTTCATCTAAATTTGTTCGTGTGCATGCGATAGGAGGGCTAGGTCATCTGGAAAGTCCAAATCGTCTAGTTACATCCAACCTGTCCATCGTATTCCGTGCTTCCCATCAGGTGTGGAGGTCTTCATAATCCTACCGACCACCAGAACAATGAAAAACGGAGGGAGTAAACAGCCTTGTCTGACACTTATCTTTACTTGGGATGCGTCTGTGAACTGTCCTCCATGTATGGTTTTGCAGTGTAGTCCGTCGCATAAATTCCGCATGATGTTGACCATCTTTTCAGATACTCCATAATGTCGAATAGGATTCCGTAGGTTCTCTTATACACACTACCAAACGCTTTCTCATAGTCTAGGAAGTTGATGTATAGTGACAAGTTCCATCCAGTTGGTTTTTCAATAATGATCCTTAGTGTTGCGATAACACTTCTCACTGTCGTTGTTAGCTCTTCCACGTATTTCTGCTTGTTAGCTCTAACGATCTTCACTCTCTTGTTCGCTCCTGCGTATTCAGTCTGTGCCTTGACTCTTTCTGTTCTTGTCCGACTGCTGTTAATTATATTCTTCTTCCTCTTTCTTGAGTCCTGTCCAGGGTTTCGATAAAGATTCATTCTATATGATGATGCTTCTTGCGGCCCACAACCTCCTGACGCGTTGATCCCTTTCCAGTTGTCCTTCATAGGGGTCTCCTCTTCGTTGAGTAGATCTTTTAACTTGTTGCTGAGAGCTATTTTGAATTTGTCAGTATGCCGAAGGAAGGCTGTATTGAACCTTTGTAATGCTGTTTTCCCAGCTGTCCAGTGCTTCTTTGGCCACAATCAGGTGGTGATCTGAATCTATGTCAACCCCACTCTCTGTTGTCACATCTCCAATTGACCTCCTGAATTTTCTAGTAATGTAAATATAATCGGTCTGATTCTCTGTAGTATGATTCGGTGAGACCAAAGTAGCTTATGTATGTGCTTGTGAGAGAACATAGTGCAACCAATAACAATTTTGTTGACTGCACATAAATTTGCAAATCTCTCACCAGTCTTGTTCCTTTCTACCAGTCCATGTCGTCTCATTATACCTCTAAACCCGGTGTTGTTTACTCCAACTTTGGTGTTTAGGTCTCCCATAAGGATGGTCTGGTCCCTTCTTGGGTACTTCTCCATGTTCGACTATAGCCCGTCATGAAACTGATCTTTATCGTCTTCATCGCTATGATTGATGGGCACATAGCACTGGATAACATTGTGATTCCCTCCCTTGTTTTGAAGGACGGTTTGATGGTCCCGGATTCATGATATTTCCGCCCTGTAATTGCTTTTCGTGCTTCTCTGGATAGCGTCAGACCAACTGCCCGAGTGTGCGGAGCACTTTCCCCTTCATGTCGAAAGTATAGCTGCATCTGTTTCGAATCTTACCTTATATCTAATGGGTTTCACTTATTTCGTTGTCCACCCTGTTGTTACTCCTTATTTCTGTAGCTATTTCATTGGACCTCCCAGTGTCCCACGTTGTTCGGACATTCCATATACTTATTTTAATTTTTGGTCTGGTTGTTGGAATGATCATCAGTCTCCATTAACTGCTGAAGAATTATTGGCTTTCACCAAGCGGCGTCATTATTCGACTCCGAGGACAAAGTTTAATTTACCTATCCCAGTCGGTTATTTGATAGTGAACAACGTTATTCAAGTGGAAGTAGGTGACGTGGGATTTATTTCTGTGACTGGATAATAGCGAGACGTGTAAAACTTCGTAATTTGAAAGGAGTGGTCAAGATGTTCGATTTTAATTTACTATGCTGTTGGTTTGAAACACGTTCTACCTACTTCGGTTTCAGGAGTCAGATGGTATCAGCAGCACCCACTTAAAGTTTCGCAAGGCCAAACATAAGAATCATACCGTGATTTGGGTAGATTTTGTGCATACACTTTTAAATCGAAAATAACCATCCACTCTTATACCTTAATATTGGTGCTATATTATGTTTCATAACGTAAGACAAATTTACCAAATTACAACTTTGTTCATAAGGATTATCGTTTTCCTGATAATATTGCTCAATTCACAGTGTGTTTGAAACACTTTGCCCATCATTCTACTAACTGAACATACAGAGCACCTTAACGGGTTTCCGCGGGGTCCTGACCCTTTCGAGCTGATGTCTGACAACTCTTTGTGTTCAGTCATCCTTGTCTCCGAAAAACTGTTGGAATCCAATTGCCACGCCATGTTAGTAATCCGGAAGTTCAGCTATGTTTGAGCACAGTGATGGTAATTCGATTATTGTCAATGTCATGAAACATCGGCTCCAGTAGCTTGAACATGTTTTAAGAATGCCATCTGGGCGGCCTCCATATCGCAAGTTATTTACCAATCCTGAGACTGGTTGTAAGAAGCAAAGAAGTGTTAAGTTTATAACATGGTCCCGTAGTAATAAAAGAAAGCCATCCTGACATCTGTCACCCGTCACAACTCCCTGGTTCGTATCCGAGAGATGGTGCAACCCGGTGTATTGGGATGTCATCATACATGACATGGCTTAGAATAGTGTTCTACATCCGTAAAAATCCAAACAGAACTGCCTTAAATAAAAAAATGCCCTCCGTTTATATTTTTACTGCATTGTATTCCATAATATATACTACTCCTGTTAACTTGGATTTTTCTTTCTTTTATATAATACCATCATTGAATTAACCACTTCTATGAATCCGGTGTTAATCTTGTTGTGCTAATGCGGTATGCGACTTGGAACTCATATGTGCCTGGTCCTACGTTGTAGCTGACTGAACTTTGATTTTTGTTCTCTTCGTCGTTAAGAATCATACTCCTTTTCCTCCCACTCTCTGTTCACAATTTCGTTTTCTCATTTGTGCATAGCATATTTCTTTTGTTGCACATCTGTGATTATTAACACATGCCAAACACACGGATACTACGAGGACTTACCTGTATATACATTCAGTTTGACTGCATAAAATGGTGTATATCTTGACGATTTCGTTTATTCAAATATTTATGTCATCAACTGGCTAATATTTAACGGTACTAAAGCACGGTTGGTTGATACTTTACAATTTGCTCCGACGATATTAGTGTACTATCAACTTTTATTTTGGGATGCAAGTCCTACATGGTTAGTTGGCAAAAATAAAATTAACATTCAATTGTTTATGACTAAAATGCTTTGGTTGGTTTTGCTGGTTTGATTTTAGGAAAACAATACTTCTGTTACATCCGTCCAGCCAAGTAACGTAAGTGCTAAACCATTTCAGACTACTACTCTACTGAAAAAGTGTAATGTAAATTTAAATCCTATGGATCATACTACGTTAAAGGTACTAAATAAACCTGTTACAATGATCAAACAAACTCAACCGAACACCTGCCCAAAACCCCAGCCGGTTTCTAAACTCAATGTAGTCCAACAACCGAAACTGCAAAATGAAGAGAAAGAAACCATAACTCAAAAAGTGTCACTCATAAGCAGCCCACTTGTCAAGTAAGCCTCTCTCTCTCTCTATATATATATATATATATATATATATATATATATATATATATATAACGCTGTACAACTTATGTGAGGAAATTCATTATTCCTAATAAGTCGGCCGTCGATAAAAATTTCATGAAATTTCAGAAAACCTTGTATATGAGATGTAGTATCGATAAGACATCTACTTGGAGGCCAAGCATACGATCGCTTTGGTTAATTATACACATGACATACGTAGATTTTTAAACAACTAATTGTTATTAAGTCACTCTTCTCAAACTATATTTTTGTTCATTTTAATATTTTATTTTTGTACAATTGTATAGTACGATAACTCGGATTAATGCACTCGGTCATAACGATCGTAGAACATGGTGCATACATGCGTTAATTCAGGTTGTCATACGAGATGAAATTATCAAACAAAATTCCAGAGTAGTATCGATAGTAGCGAAAACGATTAGATTTTGAAAAAAAAGCAACTAGGAAATTTTTGGGGCTCAAGTTTTAATGGAAGACAACGAATGAATGGATTTACCACATTGCAGTCGATTCTGAGTCATACCATATAACTACCTCGTCAACTGGCTTATCATCATTGCTTAGTACCCATGCCTGATTTCAGTGGTCTCAAAGAAAATAAGTAGTGCTCCGAAAGCACCTATAATTGAGCGCTAATAACTTACGAATGTCTTCTACTTTTAAAGGCCACTTTTCACATCCATAAATTAAAACGGTAAAGTTCTACGTAGTATACTTATCATCTGGTTAGTAGATAGGCATCTCGTCTACTCCCCAAGCAACGAAAGCTGACAAGTGCCTGCTGAGCTTTCTTGAACCATACCGAGATTTTGTCAAACACCAACCCACCGATGCTGATAAGACTTCTAAGATAAGTGAAGTAGTTAGTGCGCCCAACCACTTAGCTGCCTGTAGTTAATCGACGTATTGATGCAGATCAGTCCGTAAGCAGTGTTTTGCATATGAGAGTGAAACTTAGGTCAGACATGGTTGCATCGTTAGTCAAGGCGATCAAAAGACTCGAGTGAGTTTGTTTATTTCAATGATTTTAATAAACCTAGTTGTCCTTACACTTAGGAATGATCTCTTTACCTCCCGTACTAGAAACTACTCAATTTTTGGTTGTGTTTATTTTAAAATTTTGCCGTTTAAATTCAAACCACAATGTAAATAGATTTTGACTGTTATATAACCAATATTTTTTCACATGATTTCAGTGGCTCTTTCGACATATCACAGCTGAATTCTGATTCGGAATCAGACGACGACGAGCCAACTATGAAAGTTCCTGGTTGGTGTCGTAAAGGTATTAGCCTACCTTTTTCGTGTTTTTTTATTAATAATTTGTTTTAATTACTTTGAAGCGGTTTTGCAATGACCGATAAAGTCACCTCAATAATTAATAGGTCCTACCAGCCTAACCGGTTATAGGAAGTAGCACGATTATGTGTTAACCAAAGCCGTCACACTTCGCCCACATAAAAAGTCACTGCAAATGTAGTAGTATTTTCAAGTGTGGTAAATAAATAAATTATTCACAAGCTCTAAAACATTCATTACATAACTAACTGATTAATACTGATCAGCTCCGTTGTCGCTGAAAGTCACTTATCCCAACAAGCCTTATTAATCTTTCATGCAGTGTTGCGTGCGTTTATATATGATAAAATAGGAAAATTAGTAAACTAGGATACATATGAAGTAATTATAAAAGAAACATTCATTTATTTTTGAAACAGAATAAGAAATACACAAATTTTCTATTTATAATTTAATAAAGAGTGGGAAAATAGTCAACTTATATAATCATTTTCAATTTCATTTAAGGAAACCCTGAAATGATAGCGGCAATGTCTGATGTTTACTCGAACAAACTAAAATGGCAAAATGAATTCCTACCTGCATCTATGATAACTTTTGATATTGGTGATGTATTCCGTAATTATCAGTATACCATTCGACCACGTACAAGCAGCGGTATATGGAATACTCCTCCTGGTGCTTCAAAGAGTTCTACTGGTCGTTCAATTATAAAGAAGATACTCTTATGAATACACACTAAGTTCTCAAAAACTTGTACATTCCATTTTTATTAACATTTGTTTGTGTACTGTTATACCCCCTACTTCACTAACTTTGCTTTTATTACTTATATTAAATTATTGGATATATGTCTAGTTCCAATTATACATAATCCTTCCAGTTGTTAAAAAATTGACCTTATCCTATATTCATGTTAAGATTTGTTAAATACCTTATGTGAGTTATTTTCCTAATGATAGAACGGTATATGTGTAGTGTTACTGTGTTTTATCTTTGTATTCTTGTCTTCTGGGTGTAAAAGTAAAACAATAGCTCGGATTTCAGATTTTAACGAAACGTTTATTAAGTATTTAGATAGGCAGGCTTCTGTAAAAAATCGTTGATAAATATATTCTGTCGACTACCCAGTAATGCTTGTCAACATTATCATGTTAACGAAGTGAAAGCTAGAGAAGGAATGCCTAATAGAGACAATTTCATTTAAGATCTCCAGGTGTTAACGTGTAAGTCCATTACCGTATATCAGAATACAAATAGACTTTGGTCTACATAAAGTCATTCGGCAATAACGAAAGCTTTGAAAGTCTAAATAAGCAAGTTTTAGTGATGTAGATAATAAAAACGCTGGTATGACTACTTCAATATGAGTATAACAGTTAGTGTAAAATAACCCTACAATTTCATTCGCGTGCGACACTTATGATAACTATGGTGTATTTCTAGTCTAAGATGCAGACTATTGAGAAAAGCACACGGGATTCGTTCCGTCCTATGGATTTATAATATATAGGCTACTAATATGATTATTTGATTGCAATTTTTTTAGCTCAAAACTTATCAGTCTGATATGATTCTCTCGGTTAGTAGAAGCTGATTCCTGAAGCACTGGCAATCTGGCACAAGTGGGACCTTTAAACACTTTTAATATATATCAGTTGCATTATGAACAATTTTCACATCATAATACATTAACTCAATTCTTCAGTTGGTCGTTCGTCTCTATGTTTAGCTTATACAATGGTAATAGGCAGTTAGTGGGTAGGGCTGCTTAACTGACTGATCACAAGATTATCTGATGGGTACTACATAATATAAACGAGTGTGCATGCAGTCTCCAGTGTTCACGGAATTTGTCACCGGTCTAGTGATCAACATTCTCATGAGTGGACTTACAGATATAACTTCGCGTGTAGCTGATATAGCTTCAGATCACCACCTGATTGTGGCCAAAGAAGCACTGGACAGCTGGGAAAACAGCATTACAAAGGTTCAATACAGCCTTCCTTCGGCATACTGACAAATTCAAAATAGCTCTCAGCAACAAGTTAAAAGATCTACTCAACGAAGAGGAGACCCCTATGAAGGACAACTGGAAAGGGATCAACGCGTCAGGAGGTTGTGGGCCGCAAGAAGCATCATCATATAGAATGAATCTTTATCGAAACCCTGGACAGGACTCAAGAAAGAGGAAGAAGAATATAATTAACAGCAGTCGGACAAGAACAGAAAGAGTCAAGGCACAGACTGAATACGCAGGAGCGAACAAGAGAGTGAAGATCGTTAGAGCTGACAAGCAGAAATACTAAATTGTTTACATTACACGAGTTATTATAACTCACTTCTTCCTAGAATAAACTACAAAATGCATCAAGACTTTATAAATTCTATTTTTCTAAGCATAGGGATAACTACAAACAAATTATTAATCTCCAAGTTTTGTTTCCGCTGAAGATAAAACAAGTGATGAGCGAATCCCGATTTTTTTAAAGATGACGTAAACAGAGAGTTCTCTGGATTCTAAGAAATGTGACCATGTTATGATTATGAGCGTTGGAATGAGTCAACTTCAATTTAGAAAATTTATTGGGTTAAGTTAATTAAAATGGTAAAAGTGTAAAATACTAATGTACTAGTCAAAAACATCTGATCAATTCAAAGATGCACGGTTAGTAGTAGTATACGGTGGTGTATTTATAAAATGCAATCCTGTATATCACGAATTTACTAAATATTAAAAACATATTTGAGAATTCAATGACTTGTCCTACTAGTCATCTTAGTATAAATTACAACGACGTATACTGGACTTATATATTTACTTTTAATTATACATAAAAGTGGGATTGACTTGTCAAGACCACCTTTATATATCTGGCTTTGAATTGTGGAGATAGACTTAATAAACCTATTTTGTAAATAGTTTTTGATATCTTTTGCATTTATTTTACCAGTTCTCACAATCTGTACATTTATCATTAATCGATTGCACTTGTTGTTTAAGTATATGACCTTGAATACTTACATCCTTCTTTCCGTCTTTGAATCCCACATAGCATGACATTGTTAACTGCTCATAATCAAATCAAATTATTAACGAACTGAGTCATCCGTACAACAACAACTTATCTATGTCATTGTATCTTTATTATTGTTGCGAATGTATGAACATGTATGCTTGAGTATTGCTTACTGTCTACGCATTTATTCATGCTGCTAGCCTTACTACTAACCGCTCAATTGATTCGATGATTCATTCATTTCACTATGTATATTTATGTCCATGTTATTCATGTTCATTGCTCTCTCTCTCATTGAAGTTTAATCGCTTACTCGCACTCATGTTCGCTGAATCATTCGCTTGCCTTTCGGCACAACTCTTTCATGCTTGTTTAACGCACCTGTAATTTTTGGATGTGTGTGTGTGGTCCCATAATAAACATAATCAACACTTCGTATTCGCCTTCTGATTGATATACCGTTGGGGCGTTATCTAGTGACGGTTATCAAGACGAACTGTATACGAAGTTTAAGGATTATATGAAATACCGACCACCACAGAATCTCTTGAAGTTAGGATTTGGAGTTAAGGACAAGGTTGACTTGAATGCTAAAAACAATCTACACTGGAAAAAACCTGGGGAATTGATACTCTTAACACTACAGCCTTTACCTCATGATCGTACGAAATACTTCCCATATCATTTTAGACGTTCTGAACACTAAATAATTGTATCTCTACTTCAATATTTACGTGACATTAGATATTAGACATTCAGTTTTGACTCAAGCGCAAAAATTCAAGTCTTTATCTCGGTACTGATTGGTTCATCCATGTATGGTACAATAAATACTTTTACAGAACAAGTAATTGAACCTAACTATTTTCAACTTTCAGAGTAAATATCGCTATTGTTCAATTTAGTTTCAATATACAATACAATAAAAACGTACTTAGCGTAATAGTTAACAAAAATCGAGTGTATATACGTGGTTGAGGTTCACATGTATAATAATCTGATATATTTTTAGGGTAGACGTTTGTTTTAATTTTGCTCCTGAATTCTTCCACAACTTCATCCGGTCCACGTCGATATGATTTCCGGTGTCGCATATATAAATTACGTGCATGTTGAAATTTAGCATCAAAATTTGCCGATTTCTACATTTTAGGGAAGATATAAAAAAGTTGAAGAGTTTAGTGCAAGGCTTTTTCTATAAATGATATTAGCTAGTAAAAACAATAGACAATAAATGATTTCATATATCGATATATAATTTACAGAAAACGTAAACGTTTCCAAAAAGATATTCGTACAGTAACACCTTGAAATGCCAAAATATTATTCGGTTGTGGGTTATATTGTGATTCCCAATATAAATAAAATAGATAAAACCGACAAAAAAGAATAAACACATATTTTGAAGAAACAAGGAAATATACCTTTATAGAACAGATGGACTGAGAAAGTCATTATCGAACTCCGCGTGAGCTAGTGAAAGATAAATTTGAAGTTACGTAACATAATTGTCCAACCTACTGATTTTAACAAACCAAAAGTTGATTGATCACTGAGTAGTGGCTAGATCCTATCGATTAGATTAGACATAGACGACATTGGTTGATACTTAATGGATCTGTGTACCTTATTACTATGGGAGGTTAGCTGTGATTAGTATAGCTCAGCGACAACGTCCTAGATTATGAAACTGAATAAAGTGGGTCCGAATTCACCAGGGAGCATCAGTCTCCTCAAGATTGCATGTATCACTTACTGAAAACAGCCAACTCTCACGACACTTATGTCCAGGACCTTCGTGATTTTTAACCCCAACTACATAACAAATCAAATATTTTGTTAAGTGTCACATTTCTTTACATAGCAAATACTTCATGACATGGTAGTATTTTGATTTGAAAATGTGTTGCAAATAGGAAGAAAAACATTTCTTAGTGTTCAGATTGACTAGATTGTATTACCAACCGATATAAACACTTTAAAACAATATGTGTACATCAAAACTACATCCTACACACAAACAGAACAGTTTATCATCCGTAACTCCTTGTCATTAGTGAAACAAACCTATTCTAAATTATCTCTCTATATGAATTACTTTACCTGTAAATTTCCCAGACTCTGGAATAATCTAGCACAATCTATCCGTAAGATAAAATCACTCCCATCCTTTGTTCGCTGCTCCTCTGAAAGTGCACTAAATGTTCTAGCACCTGTAAGTGTATCTTATTTCACAAGTGAAATCATAGGAACTTTAAATGTTTAACCATTCTTGTTACTGAATTCACTAAGTAAAACCATCTACTTACTGTTACTTTATGTTAACACCGTCTCTGGTAACCCTAGCTAATTTGAAAAAGTCTTTAGATCAGAAAATAACCTGACATATGTATTATGGTAGACTAACTAACCCATCGTAATAATTATTGCCGTTTTTGTTGCGTGCTCTCCGCTTCTACTTTATTTCCTATGGTTACAGATGGTTCTAATCAATCCGTTATGGTGCAGAAAATGACCTGAAATGTACCGTCCATACATCAACAGTATGTCCACCTAAGAATTGAAAGTTCCCGGTCGATGCATTTCACTGATGTAATACATGTCATAAATGTACTACCTAAACAATTTTTGAACTAGTAAACTTAAGACATTATCATACCACATGTTTGTTCTCTGCATTTAATGTTACTATTTATATCAAGCTCAACATGCCTGTAAACTGGCATGAATTCTGTTTTATATATATATATATATATGATCTTCAGTTCACTAATTCTCAATTAAAAACTGATTTAAAGTATTCAACAACAAAATGAACGCAAACCTAACAAAATTTATACACAAGATAAACTAATCGAAGCCTAATTGGAAATTTCATTGAGCTGACTGAAATACAGATACGGTGAATTTCATTTGGATAAAGCAGAAACTTGTCAAGTGTGAGATAAATACCACCGATGGCAGTGGACGATAGTTGTGTAATATCGTGGATTGATCGTGGTTATAAATGTAAACCACTGGATTTCAACCGAGTGACTTGAAGGTTGAGCACTCATAGTAAGGCTGCAAGACCTTGAGGTCCGACCACTCGGTGGGTGTGCTACTGAGGAGTCCCACGACGGGACGAAACGGTCCTTTAGTGATTGCTTAGCAAAATAATTGTGATTTGAAAATTAAAATCCAACAACTTCCGTACACCCTATTGTGAGGAAAGGAAGTAAATTTCAATCTCTAAGACTTACATCGATTTTATCTGTTTGGACCAAGCAATTACTTGCTAAATATCGATCATACTGTGATCGAGTTTCCTGATCACGAAGTAATTCATAGGCAGCCGTGACTAATTGAAATTCTTCCCTCCTCAATTTCTCCGGATTAGTATGAATTAATCGGTCTGGATGTAAGCATTTCGACAAATCATAATAAGCAGATTTAATTTCGCTAAAAGTTGCAGATTGTTTTACACCTAATATATCATAAGCATTATATTTCTCCAATGGAAAATTGGATAGTGAATTGCATTGACATAATCGAAGAAATACAGGACGTAATAATATGTGGCAGTTGGAAGATAAAATTTTGACGATAATTGCAGTGTTGAAAATTATAGAAACATAGATATAACTGTCATAAAAACAACTTTTATCATACAAAGTTGTTAATCACCTCTTTATCTAGAAATATTAAAAAGATTAAACCAAAATTACAATTCCAAATATAACCATGAAGTGTTAGTAAGCGACATCACCAAACACAGTAATATGATACTAGGAAACATGAATAAAATCCATACTCATCTAGTATATTTTACGACTTATTTTTTTAGCAATAACTACGTATACTTACTTACCAAGTAGGATTTTTATGCAAACTGTTTCATATCAGTTTATTTGTGATCTATTAATACTAACCACATAGCCAAACCAAGCAAAGTAGAAGGGAACAAACAGAAATAAAATTCTCTTGAATCGTTCACAAGCCCAAAACCCTTCAGATCTCGGATAGTTAAAATAAGTTCTGAGAATAGCCGGGTATGAATCACAAAGATAGTAAAAATATACGATGCCACTGGAAATATAAAACAAACTCAATTGCTTGGATGTTGATAGTCGTTAATTTAAGCTCTAGTTTATACAATCAAAAAATAACTGGCAATTTTAAAGTACTTTCAGCAGTTGTAATGAAATTTGAGTTGAGGAGGACTGTGAACTTCTATTAACAAACCCATTCAATCAACGTCAATATAAAAATAAAGACCCATTTGTATAAATAACTTGTTCACTATGTGATTAAGCAATAACAGAGTCGTTGATCAACTGTGAGAACCAATAGTATTTACTTTAACATTTTAAACAGAGGTGACTGTGATGGTAGATGAAAACAACTAATTGGGCGGTCAGACTAATTTTCTATTTTAGGGGCACTTCAAAATCATATCGCTTTAGCTTCTCTTACAAACGCTGAGTGTGAACGAAATATCTTTAAACTGTTAGGGATGCAGAGGGATGTACCAATAATTATCATGTTAAGTCTAATGGTGTCCCTGAACTTTAAATGGACATTCCCTATTGGTCAATATTTGTCTCACTTGTTAAATATTGTACAAATTTTGTTTTCTATACGAATATTCGTCAAGATTAGAACGAATGGTTTGACAGTAATTGAGCGCCGAGTATAGAGAAGTCATTATATGTGAAAATTATATTTGAAATATTCTCAGGGATTGAAATTTAACTAATTCCAACGTTTCGTCCAGCTAACTTGTCTGGACGAAACGTTGGAATTAGTTAAATTTCAATCCCTGAGAATATTTCAAATATAATTTTCACATATAATGTTGTTTTCTATTTTATGGTACGATGTGGCTTGTCTGATTGGTATATAAACAGAGTATGTCTGAAATATAATGATTCATATCTCAGAGGCTGTGACTTGTGTTCTGGACTCAACTGGCTGGGCTAGACAGGGAAGCGGGACTCTAGGCCGTTTGTGCGTGTTTTACGTGTCACTGATTCGATCTATAATACACTACTCTCTAATCTTTTCAGTCAAGGGCACAACAATTGGCACGGGGTAAAAATCGACCCAAGTTCAAGTCACAACACAAACAAAGAAATGAGATTGTTTTCAAAGGTGATAATGGTAATAGCTAACACTTAAATTGTAGCTATTCTTGTCTCTTTCTAACAAATACCAGGAAATCAAATATTCATTAATCCTATACATGTTATTAGGTGACTTATTTTAATGAACGCATTTGCTAATAAGCAACTGACGCGAGTCTGTTAAAATTCCCAGTTTCTAAATTTTCTGGAAACCTTTAGTTTTAGACCATCAGTACGAATTTGTCAAAGGATTATCCTAGTGCAATGCTTTCCTCCCTGAAAAAAATATATATGCAATTGGTCTCTTAGTTTCAACTTGCTAGAATGTTGATACTACTTGAGTGGAGATAAAATGTGAGGCCAAATTTAAGTGATAAGAAGCTACAGTATCCTCTATACAATCCGCAACTACCAAAGGTTTCTTGGAAACAAATAAGTGTTGTATGACCTTATAGGTTATTTAGAAGTCATGTTCCTAGAGAGAAAGAGGTCAGTATGCAGTAACTTCTACTATTTAAGAAACTCGATGAAAAGATAGGAGCGCTTCGGGAGAAGAATAGACCACACGGCGTGGGAAGTCCCATGTGCTTACACATGCTTATTCAAACATCAATACCTGAGGTGGTGGACGGTGGCGCGATTTCGCGTATTGACTGAAGTTAGACATTAACACCGTTGGATGCCAGCTCAGTAGTCTAGAGGTTGGGTGTCCGCGCGAGAGATAGAGAGTCCTGAGTTCGAATCCCGCGAGCAGGATCGTGGATGCACACTGCTGAGGAGTCCCTTACTAGGACGAAACGACTGTCCAGTGCTTGCAGGTTTTCCATGGTGGTCTAGCTTTAATCGACCCATGAATTCAAATATTAAATAACAAAAATATGTTTATTATTAATCGTTTCTGTTATAAATTTAAAAGTACATATGAATAAATTTTGATAGTCGAGGTATATTTAGCATCAAAATAGTTGAAGATAAATCCGAATTATAAGAAATGACTGGATAAATAGACGGCCAATTTTCGTTAGAAGTTAGTTATGGGTGGTATAAATGAAAATATCCAAATATTGATTTGTTAATTAACAGTCGCAATGGATAAACATGACAAACAATATACTTTAACTAGGTAAACGTATCTTAATTTTTAGCTTGACTTCTGGAAACTAAATATTCTATAAAAATAAACCCAATCATACTGAATGTCATATTGCTCAATTTCCTACTCTTCTCCTTCTTGTAAAGGTAGCAGTCATTCTCTCAGAAATGTGAACCAATAGCTTAATGAATACTTGATTTTCAACAACAAGGTCAGAAACTCAAACCCTAGTAGTCCATCTACTTCGTAAATTTGTTGGTGTAGTAATCAAGGGACATTATTATAATCCCAATTCCTAGTTGAGAGATTTATTTAATAGATACATTTTGTGTATTAAATAAACAATGTGAAAAATAACTAATTATTGAGTATTGTTACATGAATCTACTGGATTTAAATTCAATGTGGAGAATAAGAGCATCAATAAATGATAAGTAAATGAAGCTAATAAAACAAATCAAGCTAACTACAAAACAGAACATAAGTAAAACATATTTTGCCAATGTATTTTTATTATACAAAATTGTAATGCGAATAATACAATACAGACTGAACTATCAAACATACAATTCTTGAATAATAGTTATGTAATACAGAAGGGTAGAATTACAGTATATATATATATATATATATATATATATATATATATATATATATATATTATCCAGCTGTACAATCGTATATATATAAACATTTTTTGTTAAAGTACTAGTTCCGTGAGGAAATGTATACATATTTACAATAAATAATATATGAACAATGAGCAAATATTAACCAAATGATTTGCCAATCACAACAGTATGATCAACACCACATACTACATCTTTAGATTTAATTGGAAGAAGTAATGGAACTGGGTAGGTTTGATTAACAGAATTACTTGTAATTTGTTTACCTAAGCCTAGACAATATAAACCACTACGTGGAGCACCCCAGGCCCATAATAAACCATCATTACTTTGGGCAATAAAATGATGTAGACCAGCAGCAACATAATTAATACAAGATTCACTATTTACGATAGCTGGTATAAATAAACCAGGTGGAATCAATGTTGGACGAGGTGAACAAGTAACCTTTGGACCTAATCCAATACATCCAAAGCCCCAAACGAATACCTTGATTAGATATAAATACATATAAGAAATAAAATGTTTGAAGTACAATGCATTATGTTTTTTAGTGATAAGAAAATAATTTTCAAAAAAATCTAAGTTAAATGAAAAATAATAGTATTAAACAAGATATGGAAATTTATGGAGACTTGCTCAACTTGAAGACAGTTCTAATGATGAACAGATATGTCATTAGTTGGCGAATAACTGAAAACCAAGCAGTGGCGAAAAGTTATTTCTTTCGATTGGACTAATCTGCCAAAACCCGCTTTAGTAATAATACTGTCTATATGTTTGTTAGAGGAACCAGTTGTGTGGATAACTCTCGAAGATCTAGTGATAAAGCTTCATCATTGAGGATCAGTCACGTTCAAAATGATATATCAAACAAACTATGGTTTTACCGTAAACCTATAATCAATCACATTATTTCTCATATAAAATATTTCGTAGATATACGCAAACAAGAGACAGGAAGGAGATCAAGATCATAAATACAAAGAATTCAATCTAAACCAAGTTGGAAATGTATAAGCCTCCATGAAGGATAATCCTTCACAAAAATGGGGGGGTTGAATACGTAAACAAATGAAAATGAGAAACTTGAAACCCATTCTCCAGTGAATCAGAACATATATTTCTAATATATATGTATCGAGAAATTAGTTTATGGTATTTTGATATATTTCTGAATTGTAAACTATTTAAAACAATAACTGTTACCGTTCGTAAATTCAAGTAAACTAATCGAGTTTGAATGATACAGAAAAGAGTGAAGTACTTTTCTAGTCTTCCTGACTTTCTGACTGGTAGTTTGGGACTCTATGTAGGTAATACACTATTTCGGGATATACAGAAAATGTTATTGGTAAACTTATTGTATTCAGTGGGAAAGAGAAGAAATGCATAACAAAATATAGTTGAGAATGTAAAGCATTAGCTTCAAAATCAATGATTTGTAGCTATTGTGTAAGCAATAACATCTGAAGCTTCTGAAGTCGGTTTCATATATGGTCGTGAGTGAGCACTGTCAAATCTAGGAACTAGAGCGAAACAACTGTCTAGTGATTCCTTCTCTAGTCAACGTAATTTCGTGATGTGAATTGTTTTTAAAGATATCTCTTACACTTTTAAATGACGTTTGTGGGGTTGTAGGCAAGGATATGAAAGAAGGAACTCAGTAGTCTAATCAACGCAATGATATTAACAAAGCGTAGACATCAATAGAGCCATAGTCATTTTTAAGGAATTATAAATTACATGGCACTGGATCCTAAGTTTATGTTATCTCCCATTTTAATTAATATCTTTTTATCACCGATAAAAAGATAAGTACATATGCGTGGTAAAATGTTCATATTTTAACACCGCAATAAAGGTACTAGACTAATTTACCATTAACTCAGCATTTCATTGAAAATCTATCGAGCTACTGGGCTGATTTTAATGTAGGTTACTTGGTTATGAAACACACTGCATGACAACTAATGAAACTACCTGGTTACTTAAAACAAGTGAAGGGCGTTAACCGGCGACTTATTACTTAAAAGGTAGGCGCTTTATAACCACTAAACCATCGCTCAACACTAACTGGTCAGTTTCCTTGTATTACAAACAGGTGGCACTTTTCAATGGCAACCATCACTTACATTGAGGTTGTAGGTACATCATATTCCAGACTTATCATGTTGAGATTTTCAATGGAGCTGTGTATCAGAAACCATCAGATCTAGTCATTATATTAATGGACAATGATAACCATTCAGTCCAACGATAATAGAACTAATGATACACTCGTAATATCCCAAGTACAGATATTAGTTTGAAGGCAGCCCTTTTAGTAAGGTACAGCTCTGACTATTCTATACTTAGTGTTACAGACCTCCCTTCTTACGGTTATGACCCCAGCTATTCCTATTGCTTAGTATTCTCAGACACCGATTCACTCGACAAGTCCCCAAATCAGAACACGGTTGAATAGGAAAGAAATTATATTCCAAATAACAAGGTTAGATGGAAGTAAGAAGCCAGTAAAAAGCACAATAGAGAAAACGTCAGTATATTTATAGTTTTACATGAGAAGATTCTAGAGTATTCTCCAACTATCGACTAGTGCTGATTGGATAAGAATTAGCCAATCAACGTGCACCAAAGCAATCGTGCATTGAGCATGCTTTAATCCAGTCCCGCTAACACTTGGTCAGTCAGCACTTAAGTTAAAATCAAGCATTGACTTTTCCAACCAACTAGCGCTACTGAACGAATTGAGGATAGGCTAGAAAATTTCTATGCAAACTTGAATGTTTCTAAAAGTGGGTTTTTTAAAGTTTATTGGAACAAACTATTATCCCTTCTCAATTCTTGTTCTGATTCAAAAAAGTTCAGAGAAGTATACAGGTCAAGGAATACTAAGTTGTAAAAGAATATAATAAGCTTCATTTTCTAGATTGTTTCCTTATTAATTACCTTATATCAAAATGATCAAATATTCTACAATTAATGATATCAATATAATTCGAAATGAAAAACTAAATTAAATTAAAATACAATTTTTAATCAACCTATAAAATAATTAAATTTACCTGTCCAATTTTATTAACAATACAACACATAGAACCGGCACAAGCAATTGATTGTATTTCACCTACATGAACATTATCCGAAGATAAATTAGATTCTACTGGTACAATACAATGATCTAAATTTAAGTGAACAGGTTCTGAAACTTGTACATCTTGATCTAATGGCCATATTTGACCGTATTCATTATTACCCCAAGCAAATAATTTATTTGATTCAGTAAGAGCAAGAACAGTATCACCGCGAGACGATAGCAAACTTTTTTTTTTAAAAAAAAAGAACAATTCAAAACAATTGTTACTGTTAACTCACTCGGTATAAAAATGTCAGAAATGTTAACTGTTAAACAACGTCATACAATTTTCTATAATTATCAGTAATATCAATAATCGAATTTCGGACAAGATTAACTAGAATGTAAGAGATACCAGCAAATGAAATAAAACTGGAATAATAATAAAATAATTAGGAGTCAAATATGAATAATTAGAAGATTTAAAGCTCAATAAGTCCGAGAGATTTCAATAAGAATAGAATTAGATCCAAAAAGATCCTTATAACTCGTAGTAAAGTGAAACAGTATAACCACTTATTAAAAGATACAATTTTATCTGATGTCAGTGTTTAAAAAATGGTTGGTTGGATGGTTTAAAATATTTTTCCCTCTGCAGTATACTACGTTACGCTAGATTGATATTTGAACGGTAAACAATACAGAGAATAGATCACGTTATATCAGATACACAACTCACAACCAAAAGTAGAGAACTAGAATAACGAAAGATATTAATTTACTCCACACCGTTCCAAGTAGTCAATCTCAGTGAGTTCAGATCAGAAATCAATAAGAGGAAAGGAAAATACATATTTGAGTCAGTAAGTTAGCTACATGTTTGTCCACACTCAATGGCAAACTGCGTTTTACTCTCACTACAACACATTAAAAAGAATCAACAAAAGGGTCTCAGTAAATTACCAAACTAGTGGCTAGCTTGTACTACAAAACAAATCACAGCAATGAACTTGAATTTATTCAGTAAACATGAGATTATAGAGTTTTCAAGGTTTTTTCTCATGATTTCATCTAAAGCTGTTCTTCTATAAAATGATTTGCTCATAATTATGGCACGAGCTTTTGCATTACGGTCCGAATCAAAATGTATGCATGAGGACTAATGACATTATCCATCCGCCCGAACTGAAGTGGATGGAACAGAATTTGAACTTACAACCACTTGGTTGGAAGCTGAATTATATTTACTTATTTATTTATTTGAACACATAAATATTGGTACAAGGGGGCACCAGATATATATGCGCCACACAAAACAATGAAAATGGGAAGAGAAAAAGAATGTAAGGTGGGTATAAGAAAAAAAAGAGAATCTTCGAACACAACGATGATCGAACACAGAGAGTCATCTAACATCCTCAACTCGGAGAGGCCAGGCTTCACAAGCATAGAGCAAAACTGCTCTCACCGACGCGTTGTAGATCCGACCTTTTACAGACAGACCGACATCACGAAGGCGCCAAAGATGGCCCAGATTGGCATAAGCCGCTCTGGTTTTCACTGTACGTGCATTGATCTCATCACTCACGCCACCAGCAGCATTTATGCAGCTACCTAGATACACGAACTTGGTGAGATTGGGCAACCCTGCTTAACCTCACTGCTCGAATGGAACAATGGAGAGAGGTGGTTGTATGCCCTCACTCTGCCTGAGGTGTTTGTATATAGGGCTTTTAGGATGTTAATAAACTTCTCAGACACACCCTTCTTCAATAGATAATCCCAGAGAACAGTCCTGTCCAACAAATCGAAGGCAGCCCTGATGTCAAGAAACACTACAATTGTTGGTTTTTGATAAGTATGAAGGTGTTCTAACATTTGGCGGGAGGTGAAGATATGATCAATACATCCTCGACCAGAACGAAACCCAGCCTGCTCCTCGCGAGTCAATCTTTCTCGAGTTTTGAACAACCTACGAAGAATGACGGAAGCCAATAGCTTGGATGCAATCGGAAGTAGACTTATCCCCCGATAGTTGTTACAGGAACGACGTGAACCCTTTTTAAAGATAGGGACAACTATCGACTCATTCCATGACGTTGGTAAACTCTCTAGTTCACAGACCTTTGTAAACAACACAGTCAGTTCCTTAACCAGAAAGTCACCACCATCTTTAAAAAGGGCCGAAGGTAAGTCATCTGGGTCAGGTGATTTGTAGCGCTTCAAGAGTTGGAGATCCTTGCGAACTTCCGCCTCATTTGGTGGATCAGTCGTCACCGGCCATGGAGGGCAGGACAGTCTGACCGATGTTGCCGGAGCAGCAGGCCAGTTGAACTGCCCTTCGAAGAGCTCTGCCCATCGTCCAAGACGTCGATGGATGTAAGTGATTGGCATCCCATCATCCTCGAAGATTGTTTCGCTCACACCAGAATTCTTGCTGCCAGTGGCACAGATGAATTGGAAGAGCTTCCGGTAGTTACCAGATCAGCTGCTGCTTCCAGCTCATTAGCACGCTCCGACCACCAGACTTCTCGTTCCTTAAGCAAGCTTTGCCCGATTTCATTACGTAACAGCTTTCGTTTGTGGTCAAACTCACAGTCACCCGGAGGAGACCGACGGGCTTCAATGAGTTGTAAGGAACCAGAAGAAATCCAGTGCTTATAAGCAGGACGCTTCGCGAAGCCGCAAGCGGCTTTACTTGCCGTTTCCATGGCGTCATGAAGTTGCAACCAATGCTCATCTACACTTTTCGGTGGAATGGTAGCTAGCCTAGAAGCTAGCTCGGTTCGGTACTTACTAGCAACAGAAGTTGCAACCAGCTTGCTAATATCAATCCGTTGGTGGTGGTCACTTTGTTAGCCAATGAAAAGTTAGGTAAGATTGGCGCAGAGCAGGGCATGATCAGAGTCCAGATAGGTACTCCAAAATGAGTGGCAGTCTTGTACACAACCACGCCAGCGGTAGCTGATCGCGATGCGATCAATCTGAGTCCAGGCTTGAGATGCAGAGGGAGGACACCAGGTGGAACTTCGGCGACGACTGTGCCGAAAGTTAGTGCTAGTCAGAAACAGGTTGTGGTCTATGCACAGTTGCAGTAGACGGTCTCCGTCCCCGTTATCTGTTCTGCGACCAACAAGTCCCCATCGGTCACCTAAACAACTCTCTTCTGTGCCTAGACGCCCGACCTGAGCATTCAAGTCTCCGGCTAGTACTACAATATCTGTCGAACGCATTTTCTAGAGCAGACCAGTTAACTGGTGGTAGAAATCATCTTTGATTGCATCCGGGCTGCAATCTGTCGGGGCATAGGCGGAGATGACGAGAAGACATCGTTTCTCACGCTGATTTCTTCTCACTTTGATGGAACTTTCTAATCTAACAGCACATAACCGATTGTTAATGGGGATCCAGTCGATTAGTGCTGCCTCAGCTTTGGCGCTTAGTGCGACAACAAGGCGAGCAAGACCATACGAAGATGCCACAGGGTCCCCGGATAAACGCACGTAAAACAAGCCTTTTGAAGCGACAGATAGGTCTTTGCAAATGTTTTTAAGTTCTCGAGAAGAGGCCGATTACATTAGTAATGTTCATAATAATTATGTACCGTCTAAATAACCTTGAGATATAAAAAACTGCTGTTTATTATACAGGCTGACAGATGCTTATTTCAAGGTATTACTGAACATGGGTTCAAGTATGTCATCGTGCCGGATGTACAAAACTTATAATATATTTTGATGTGTTTAGCACGAAGAAACCCCGTACCTCTTGATTATGATCAGTAAACTGTAAGCACACCCTTGCTTACATGGCCGTGATGTCATATGGGGTAAAAAATAATGTATGGACAATGAATTGATGAGAAATATTTTGTTCACAGTCTATGAACAAGTACGATATAAAGTGCTCTATGAAGCCTAAAGTTTATGGATTTTGAACTTAAACACCGGGTTAAACGGAACAAAGTTTTAAGAACTTACCAAACACGTTCATTTACCAATGAACCTTTTACAGCAGTAAATCGATCAACCACATTATAATGACCTAAACCAGTCTGACCATCTGATCCAAGTCCACAGGAATAAACAACACCGTCTGAGCTGAGTAACAAGGTATGGTCTTGACCGCAAACTAACTATGAAAAACAGCAAAGTAAAATATGACGACCTTAGTAAGTAATTTTCCGATGCTAGGTTAATTGCAACGTAGACAGTGATCATGAAAATATGGTAAGGAAAACATTTTGTTGGTTTTGTTCCCTGAGTTGGATGGTTTGGTCGTGGGGCTTTTATCGTTATTCTGAACGCAGACTTCAGGTAGAAGTGAAGTGTTCGAATTTCTCCACATATAGTTCACAGCTTGTCCTATAGACCTCGATCTTGATGATGTCGTTCAGAATAACGATGGAAGCTCCACAACCAAACCATCCAGCTCAGGGAACAAAACTCCACCAAAATCATCCACCTGAGCTACAAATCTTCTCCACCATAGGAAAAACATTGTTGGGTAGTTTTCTATTTATCGTGAATGCAACTGTTTGGTAGTTAACTAAAAGACCAAAGTTTAATATGTACTTCATATGAAATGTTAGCATAAAAATCTACAATTGTGAAGTAGTCGTTTACCCGTAATTCTCTTTTAGTAGCCCGTTGATCTGACTCCATTTAGATCGTACAAATGTTCGTTATCACCTATCCTCGTACACAATTATCGACTTAAATCACGTTAGTCAATAACGGAATTTAGATAAGTCAATTAAAAAGAATGGCCTTTGAATACATATATTTTGTATGTAAAGTGAACGTGATAGAACAAAGCAAAACGACACGCAGGGGAAATGGCTGGTAAGCCAACCCATTTTTAGCCAGGTGTTACTCAATATTTATAGGCAGACAAAATAAACTACAGAGATGTGATAAGACATTGGATATGTAGTGTGCACACATATACGCTCATATAAAAACAGTCAAGACTGATAAGCGAATAATTAACAGGGTCAAAATATGACTCAAGTAGAATGAATAGATTGGTTTGTCCAAAAACTAGAATAAGATATATTATGGGCTTGAAATAATGACTGACACTACACTCTCTACTCCTCATTTGACATGAGGTTTTGTTTTATACACATCTTGGAGACTCAACTCAACCAAAGTATCGTTTTAAACAAGTTTATTTAGGACACACATTGAGGAAAGCGCCCAAATGCGTCACAAGGCAAGCCCTCACATGAAATCCTCAAGGCCAAGGTGAAGGAGGAAGACGAAAGAATAAATTACGCCGAGAAATGGAGAAAGACATGGGGAAAAAACAAAAATCGGATAGAACTGGAAAGGAAGGCCCAGGACAGAGTGGGTTGGAAAATGCTGGTCGGCGGCCTATGCTCCATTAGGAGTAACAGGCGTAACAGGCGTGCTAAACAAATCTGAAGAGCTATACTGGAGTATCATCTTTATACAAGTTTTGGCTGACTGCATTAATTAAAGGCAAACTAAAGAGTGAAATAGGATGTATAGAACGACTGATTCAGTAAGCTAACATTAAAAATAAACATTATGACAGACGAAAACTGATTATTGTCAAAACTACTAAAACTGACTACAAAGTCGAAACTATGAACAGAAATAAATGGAGACTAAGGTTAGCCAAATATGACCTAATAATTACATACAAATTCAAAGTGCAAACTAACTTATAAATTCCTCAACATACTTGTTTGATAGATTTTATTTCTGGTGGCAAGACTATTTTTGTTATAACTTCCACATCACGATCGTACTTTTCGCCAGGAATTATTTCTCTTCCACACTGCCCGAAAACATTGTTACCCAGGCTGAAAACAAGAGGAGGTGTATCACTATTCGACTCTTTCAAATTTTCATAGGATATAATAGTATGTGCTCGACCACATGCCACATGAGAAGGACGATATATTTGTTTTTGCGTATTATCAAGACAGATAGCAATTCTCACAAGTTCAGGAACAACATTTACTGAGTTGCCTGTAGGAAGTTTGGTTTTTAATCCAACCGACTAAAATGAAAGGAAAATTCTTTAAATAATACTAAATCTTTACCATAGCCTGAAGTCAGTCAATATAATAATGCTCGTCTCTAGGTGTGAATCGAAAACCGTCGACCATAATTTAATAGTAAAATTTCCCATTTGATTTTTAGGTTTTATCAGCTTCACGCAACGTAATAAAAGTGTTTCCTCCGTTTCGAAGTGACATAAATACTTGGGAAATCATACAAAATTGAGCCACAAGATCAGCTTGTGACCCTAAGTTTAAAATCTTACAAAGAATGTATGAAAACACTAAATCTATATCCCCTAGAATGTAAACAACTTAGGGGAAATCTCATGACTTCTATATCATAAACACTCCCAGACATCATGTGCAGCACTTAAATTGATTGCTAACATTGACCATGGAGGGAAGACCCGTGAGCTGGATTTTTAACGTACCGGGTTGGGATGTATCCATCTATCTCACTCCAGAATTAGTCGTTTTAGAACTTACTACCTCACTCAAGAAACTTCGTCAGAATCTTTGAAGCGAAAGCTTAATAATTTCTGAGAGACTTAATGTGAGGTTTTACATAGTCTGACATAACAACCCCCCACAAAATAGACTCGACGACGAACGCAAATAGACCATATCACCATCGGGGATTGTTACAGAAGCTCAATGGAAGACTGACGTTCATTCTAGAGCACGTCCGCAGACTATGGTCATACTTTTTGAGAGCGAGTTTATTTGAGTTAAAGTGGACACAGTAGAGGAACAGCAGAAATATTCCCTATAGCTCAGCCTAACGACGAGAAAGTCAAAACTATATTACAGGAACAACTAAAATAATTAATTATCAAAGTTGTGTTCACCTCAAGGTAGGTTGGTATCATATTCAAGCAGATTTAATGTTTGTCTTCTGCGTTGCGTAACTGACTGATACCGATTCACTGAGTATTTCTGCTTGTTTTCATATAACTAGGTCTTTACCTGGAGGTATCAATAATCAACTGATGCTAGACCCGAAAGATCGTGAAGCCAAAGCTTTTTTTATTATAACTATGATCAACTGAAGTGGAAGTAATGAAACTCACTAATTACATTTAAGTCTTACACGAAACTTCATGTCTTACTTAGTCTGTAAATGTCAACTTCATTAAACGAGTGCACAAAAATTGATAGATGGGACTTTTTGAAAATCTAGCTTTTAAACTCATGAGTTACAGCTCTATTAGCGTACATTAATCTAAACATGAATACTATAACGTCTTTAGCAAATGTCGTAGACGATAATTAATCCACAATCCGTTCTCTAAAATGATGACTCACTACATTGTAACCCGATGAAACTCTAATTAGGGATGCTATAAACAGAATCTTGGTCGATGGTTTGAGTGCTCACTAACAATGAAATTATAATTATTAGGGCATGATTCGAGTGGTTATTTACCTTTAGTAATAAAGTGCTCCTTACAATCATTGAACAAATCAAAGTGATTTTACCAAATAGCTCAATGTTTTAGTAGTTTTAGGGAAAAACCTAAAAATATCAGTAAAACTCCGAGAAGATTGATTTGGAGTCAATAAATGTAAAATGCCAATAGACAATGTGGCTTAATCTCAGTGAATTAGTCATACACAACGTAGAACCTCGTACATATATGCATCGGTTCAACTTGCCACACTATATTAGTATAATGTGACGAAAATGTCAAAAATCAGAGTAAACACAGACAATATGTTTCGGGAAATAATGAATTCGCGGGACCAAAAGGCATGAGGTGATTTTGGAACTCCACCTATCTTGTGATAGTAAATGTGGACAATGAAAATTCCCATACTAACAGTAATCCTGTGCTCACTAGTGACCAACTTCTGAATGGAATTCAAAGTTCGAATGATAAGCCATGCGGTTCAACCATGTCGAGTACAAGACAGTTATCCACAACTGGCAATGAAAGATGATCGTACGATATTGTGATATGATCGAAGTCAGATGTTCATCGTTAGGTTCTGGTTGTGATTAAGAGGTTAGGCGCTCGTGCGGTAAGTCGAATGTCCCGGGTTTGAAACCCTATGAAATTCGTGGGGGGGGGGTTCTCTTGAAGAATCTCATACTAGGATGAAACAGCCATCCACTGCTTCCTGATTTTCAGTGACGGTCAAACTTAGAGTAGTTTGTGGAAACCTAATAATCTTGTCAGTCAGTCAGCTACAACGTAGGACCAGGCATATATGCGTCGATCCAAGTTGCCAAACCTTATTAGCACAACAAGATGGTTACCAAATTTACATAACTAGTTATTTCAATGACAGTAATATATAAAAGATTATGTATGAGGATATAATACAGGGAGAAAGAATTAGTTCGTAGAAAGAAAGGTATAAAGTGATTTTAATCTCCTAGTTTAAGGAAAGACGAAGAGTGTATACACCAATGCCACTGTGATCGGTTCTGAGCCATGTCACCAAGAGTCTCCAACCATTGGTTACAATAGTCGCGCGGATCCCGACTAAGTAGTCTTCATCTACCAACATGGCTCAGACTACAAGTTAGTGACTTCAAGCACTGAGGCATTGTTGCTCGGTGCTACCGAAAAACTGCATTTTATCAGGACAGGACAATGTTATCTGCGTATTCTAAGTCGATAAGTTGACCTCCTGATAGGAAATCAATGCCCAAGAATTCAGTGGACGAAGACGTTGCTTCCAGCAGCAGGTCTATGATGAAGCTGAAAGAAAATGGAGATGGTGTACAGCCTTGAAGGATGTCACTTGAAGCTGCAAAAGCAAACGACAGTTCTCCATAAGCTCTGACTCGACTAGTAGTGTTCGAGTAAAGAGCCTCCACAAAGTTTATGTAATTCTGAGGTACGCCGCCATTCAATGACAGACAATGCCCGAGAACCTTTCGATCTAGAGTCAAGAAAGACCACCATTATTGGACGCCGATAAGCATGCCTATGTTCTAGAACCTAACGAATGGTGAATATATGATCGATGAATCCACGACCAAGTATGAAGCCAGCCTGATTTTCTCGTGTTGGTAGTTCACGAATCTTTGTTAGGCGCCCGATAATTGTTGGGGCTAGTATTTTAGATGTTATGTTAGTCAAACTAATCCCTTTATGGTTATCACAGGGTGATCCTCTCTTATATATTGGGACATTCAGTGATTGTGACCAGTCAGATGGGATTACGTCCAACTTCCAGATCTTAGCTAAAATATTAGTCAACCTAATCGCTAAAACTGGACCACCATACTTAGAGACCTCTGGAGCCAATCCATCTGGACCAGCCACTCTTCCTCGTTTCAGATTAGTTATAGCCTTTCGAAACCCAGCCAAGGTCGAGGGATCTAATAATCTTGTAGCAACCGCGTTCTAATTTCCGGACAGGTTAATCATTCACTTTTTCTGGTTATTTTGTATACCGATTCTCCTGAACAGTGTTTAAAAGATATGAGCCAAATTCATTAGTCTATGGTATAATTTCAATATGATTGGTTATTTCGTACTTACAATTTATTGTGAACTTTAACCAGTGCATACATATATGTATATGCTTGTTTGATGATCTCTCATTGGATTCAGACACTATATTTCGGTTTAGACATTTTTTACACACACGTACGGTGATTTATACTTATATACTTAAATTTCATTCATTAACCCATTCTGTTTTCCTGATCGCTTTGCTTGAGGACAAGCTTGTTTGGAATATAACACAGCTAACAAAACTTTGCACTGCCGCTTATTTATTATTATACCAGAAGCAAACGTTACCACTGTGTTCAAGTCAACAAATCATACGTTGGTAACAAGGATCGAGCACGACACTTACAATCTCTACAAACCTCCTATGCTAGCAAAATGCATTGTGATGCTTCCAAAACCAGCTCAATAATATGGGGTACCCAAATGCATCATAAATATTATGTAGAAAGGCGACATATTAAAAATCAATGGAAAACAATCATTTGAAGAAAATAATTAGATAGAAATGTGCAAATTATTGGTTATTTACAAATTCGTACACCCGGCTTTGAATTAAACGTAATATACATGGATACTAAAAAGAATGACTGATATTACCTACATCACTTAGCTGAACGCTTATTTATATCCATGAATTAGGTAGAAATGGGTATATGCTCAAGTACAACTCAGCCAGTTGATAAACCTGTGAAGAGCTGCCAGAAAATTCCGATAAACTTCCGAAACGAAATTTCGGTATACAACTAAAATAGTTACTCAACATGAATAACTGTATTTTCGAACAGACTGGCTACTGAAAAAAATGAGTTTTAAAAGCCCTTTACGGTGAGAAAGTGATAGGAAAGTGTAGGCCAAAATATGTCCATCTGCTCTACGTAGTGTGGATTAGGTTAATCCTCCCATACTACGGATATCATAACCCATAAATACACATAGAAGAACTGAGAAGTGAATAGAAATGAATGTCTACTTCGCTTTTTCTGGTGTTCAGGCGCACTAATTTTGCAAGGCTCTTCTCTTTTCTTGAAGTGCCAAATGCATTTCCTCCATATGTTGGACGCGAATAATTTACTAACGTTAAGAAGCAAACGGGAATAAACTAAAAAGTCATCGTTCCTAAAAGGCACTTAACAGCCAGAGCAGAATGACAAATAAATAGCGTTAATCCGATGAATAGTAGATAAAAACTGCAAAGATTCACAATGTGCCTCAACAAAGATGATTCACGGAAACGTAATGTGCATCTAAGCTGTGACTACTGGTCATAATCAGACACTATGCTCTTGAATGACATTTTCAATGGATTAAGAAAAGACGAACTAATAAGATCATAGTGACTAAATATAATGCTGTTCGTTGGCGAAAAGTCATCACTGGACGCTTAATAGTTTGCCAGTTCATCATATTTCGTTTGGGCTCTAAAAGCCTGATTTTTCACTTATGGAATCATGGATATTGCAAAATAGACAACCTGTGATCCTAATTGGCCATCACTGTTGATCCCACAGCCGTAGACGCCAAAATCCCCATGACTGCCTCCACATATATATGTTGTGAAGCCATATCCACAAGCAGCTTTTAACGGAACACCTAAAGACGACGAACATTTCAAAGGCGTAGGCCGTGATACACCTCCAACACCAGGTTTACCTAATTACAATATCAGAAAGATTAACATAACAAGTACAAACCATGAAGACCAAGATATTTCTCATTACCGAGAGCTCCAGTTGCTGAGAAACCAAAAACGTAAACTTGCTTTGACTTCAAGGATTCCCTTGAATGGATATCATAAACTACAGAGTCTCTGCTTCTTTGTCGATGAAGTGATTTCTTAGATCCATGGGCCACACTCAAGGTCCAGAAAGAATTCTTCGAAACTACCGCGAGCAAAGGTCGAGTCATTTATACTTCGAGCCTCAAAATGTACCAGGTAGAAGTAGAGAACTGCTCGTTTAGATCTTTATTTGCGTAATAGGAAATTATTCTTGGTTACAGAATGGTATAATTCTTTCTATATTGTACTAATTTTGATACCTATTACTCATATCTGAAATTTTAAATATGTACTTGTTCAATTTCTCCGTGTGCACCAGAATTGTATGAGTATGTTTCACACAATTCCATCAACTATTAGTTCTCTTTGTTCGACTTTTGGGCTTACTTCGCTTGTTTTAGACCGTTATAACAAGCCAATTTATACTTCACCTTCTTGGTCGTTCTGATTTACGTATCCGGTGGTGACCGTTGTCTGCTTTCAGACGCCATTATATGTTGTGGACACAAAGTTTTCGTAGCAGATAATGTGATCAGAAATTGTGAGTCATGTGAACCTTCAAACTGGAGGGACTACTGGAAACTGGAATCTAGTAGTATCCAAAGTCGAAAAAGATTTAGGAGTCCTGGTGCCCTACGATTTAAAGTCTTACGCTAACTCTGACAGAAATGCCTTCCGAACAAACCTTGCACTGATAACATTGAAGCGCATTTTTGGCCAGGTTGACAGAAGAACTTTCCATGTAACCTTCAATAGTTTTATCCGTCCCCATTTAGAGGACGGAAACGTAGTATTACCTCTCTCACTCCAAAAGGACAAGGACACTCTGGAGCGTATCCAACGGCGAGCCACGAAATCAGTTCGAGGACTCGAATTTAAACCTTATGAAGAGCACCTTCAATCACCTAACCTTTACCCATTAGAGTATAGACGTCTTCGAGGTGACATTCTAATGGCTTACAGTATCCTTAACACTTCTGGACATCCTCTCAAACACCTACTTAAGCTTAGTTCCAACACTAACCTAAGGGGTAACACCCAAAAACCAGAGACACAACACAGCAGAACGGACTGTAGACACACTTTCTACTCCTTGAGAGTTGTCAAATGCTGGAGTTCACTGCCGGCTGAGCTAACTTAAGAGACTCTCCAGGAGTCCTTTAAGAGGCAACTTGATTTATTCTTAAGGACTAAGGATAGTATGACACTATGATTTACCAATTTCTTTTTTCCCTTTTATTGCCAGCATACCTAGGTTCCTGCCTAGAGTTTGTGGTGATCTCTTGCTACTAGACACGGAAGCCTGTTAAACGAAAGCTTCTTCTATTCCGTCCACAACCATTTGGACCATTTGAACAAGAAACACTTAGAATAACGCCCCTCAGTGTCCACAGGACCTGGGTAAGAGTCGAGCCTTCTTACGAATAACTTTACAGAGTATGCCATCCCTATAACTTCGGATGGAAGGCTTCGGAACTTGTTGATGCTGTCAGTGAAAAGTTTACATGAAATTTCATACTAATCCTTCATCTCCTGTCCTCAATGAGTGTTTTCTTCAATCTATTTTAGTATTGAAAGTTGTAAGTAGTCTATTTGGGGTGAAGGTGACCATGGCCACATCCTTTGATCCGTCTGTACTCAATAGGTCGCAAATGTATAGCTTATATGCGATATGATACTGCTTTGTCTTTCATTAAGTGTAATTTTTTGGTTGCTCTTCTTTAAACTTGTAAACCGTAAATAAATCCATAAGATAAATAGTCTTTGAGTTTGATACTGACCTCACTAGTTTCGCTGGATACACTTAGCTAAGAGCGTTCGATTGCGCATCTGCATCAGATCACCAGTGGTTAAGCCTTGATACGCACTTATTGCAATTAATAACCAGCATGAATCAAATGCTTCTCGACATGTCAGTAACTTTCCAGACACATCATTGAATCCTCTCGTTTCTGACTTCTGATGTGACGGAGTTTCTATAGTTGAAAAAGGCAGGGTATCAGAAGGACTTAGTATTCCCCATACACATCCTAAGATCATATACGGGTAGCAGAGTTTAGAAACTAAGAGCGAAAGGTGAGTCATTAGTATTTAATGTAGTGAGTAGTCTAAACATCTAACCTATTTCTAGGAAATTGACTCTAATGAAATGTGCGTCTCGGTCAACCTAAAATATTGTATTGAGGCTGATCGAGTTGAACCGAGAAGTGTTTTAGGCCGACTTTGTTCCATTCTGGTGAATTAAGAAACCTTGAAATAACGTTGCTTGGTCGTCCATATAAGGATTATTCGGATGAACCACTTAATGTATTAGTCAGTGAACTGACTTATTTAACTTCAAATAGAGTACAATTAATAGGCATCCGAACATAAGCATTGATGAAACGGACATATAAAAAACATGAAATGAAATAAGCTGAACGCAGATAATACAGTTACAAAGATGTCTATAGGAACGTTTCGTGTGGTTAGGGGACCACAAGAGTACTTATATTGTGTTAGCAGTGCTGAAGTTTTGGGAAAAAAGATACTCACAAGTACTTTTTTTACCAACCCAGTTTTACGCACAATATCTGGTTGTCCTCGACTGATTTTCCTTGCTTTTAGCTCGCTAGATTTCTATGTCCTTGAAAGTATTATATATATATGAAGTTGTGTCGATTCATGCTGTATTGCTTTTCCAACTTCGAATATAATGTTTTTAACAGATCATCTCTCTATGTTAACACTTAAGTGTTGATGTGTTGTGTGTAAGTTGCTGTCATTGCTTACAAACAGAAGCTATCAAATTGAATATCGTAGGTCTCTAATAAACATTCAAAAAACAAGATATAACGCAAAATTTATAAGCAAATGACCAATATTAAGCTTTAAAATACTGTTTTGTAAACCTATCCTCCAGTTTCTAGGACCGAAGGTAAACGACTGCACGTAAAACCAAGTTATTATCAAAAGTAGCGTGATACAACTTCGTGAACCGGATAATAGCTGTATTTAGCCAGTAAGTTCTTGAAAAGTCCCGTAGCTAGTAATAGTAATCAACAAATTTGTTACTACTTATTGGTGTGCTCTTAAAGATATTATGGATATTCAAATCATGACAACTTTGTTGTCCGTGATATCCTTTTAATCAGGAATTCCAAATTCAATCAAACTAGAAGTCCATTATGAATGTGTTCGAAGATATTTCTGGAACGTTTTGATATGTTAAGGAGCGTTTGATCTAGGTTGTTGCGAGAAATGCATAGCGTGGCGCACCTTTACTATTATGGTCTATTTCGTTGTTGGTACTGCTCTAATAACAGACCTAATCCCAAAACTGTAGATTCGTCATGATGTAACTGCCTAATCTATAAGATATTACGCGAAAGTCACATCATTGTCCACACGAACTCATCGCATTGTAAAAATCATCAATATATGACGGAGAACACATTTAAGCTGGAGATAGAACAATATATTTAGTACGAATAAAAGTGATGTTACATAAGTTATGGCCACACCTGCATGGCCGAGCCATGCCATCCGATAAATTCAATTTCGGACGAACGTTACTGGGCCCAGTACTACTACATACCCAATGGCAATCTGCCACGAATGGGTGACCACACGCCTTCACACAGGGTTTATCCAGTAAAACGAGCTATGTCAGCATCAATATCGAAGACCTACATAACTTTGTCCAGGGGATTTATTTACCGTTACACTCCTATCAACCTTGTCCTGACCATAGTGAACATATACACCGATCAACCTGAGAGCAAAGCAAAGGATTCAGAAAAAACGTTTGAATAAGCATCATGAAATCTTACTTCAGCATAAACTGACAAACGTCAGTGGTTCCAAATTTCCGAACTCGTTTAAAGAAATTACACAAAACAATCAACAAGTTTAGTATGATTCATTTCCCATATGGTCTGATCAGCTCTATACAGACTCAGAATGAGATATATTCATATGGTGCTAAAAGAACTGCTGAAAGCTTTCTGGTAGTCTGCTTGGCATTCTAAATCCAATAGATAAACTATTCTAATATTTTAGGACTCCTGTAAACACGGGGTGATTACCTGCCCAGATCAACGAGTCTATGAAATATGTGTATTCGAAAATTAATTATCGTATTCTACTTATTGAATTCCATTATTCAGTAACGCGATCCAAATCGACAGTTATATGCGAAGATTGAAGATATACATATTTCGACAGCAATCATTCATACGATCCAATTAGAATTAAACATCGAGCCACTAAAGGCCAGCTTTCTATTCCTTATTCGACATATTTCGTCTTGTTACTTGTCATACACTACTCGGGTTACAAAATTTAAGCCCGGGCGGTGTCTGGCTCTCCTGTTAAGCGGGATTGAGCAGTACTGTTCGGGTTGTCACGTGAAAGTCTGGATGGTGTCTGGTTCTCCTGAAAACCAATGTAGAATTACTCTGGCCCACAAGGGCATATCATATAAGTATACTTGTCACACTTAGTTATTCTCCATTGATTTATTTTCTACAGCCGATCACAATTTATCCTGATGATATCAGCTAGTATGATGTTTATCTTCTGACCAAGCATATCTTTTTCGGTTCCAGTGTATACGCTTAAGTATTCTCGGGAGTTCGTATCCAACTTCCTTGCCGTTTGTTCTTCATACTTTATTTTTTCAGTACTACGTTTACAGTACACAGCCATGGAGTTTCTTCTCATGTCCAGAACACAAACCTAACGTACGCCATTGTCGAAGTCACCCCATGCCAAGCACCTCTGCATCGTTAATACATAGTAACTACAAACTTAATAAACAGTCCCACTACAAAATTGCTCTACTAATAAATATAAACAAACGCTCCTCTGTAAAACTCTTGATTTATTAAAGTTGTCTTTTACCAACTCTATTGGGCTTGAACCCTACTTTAAGACGCTTATATATTAATGATCGGTTGTTATTTTGATTGCTTTCTGTTTCCCCGTTTGTCTCCTTGATTTTCCTTTTCTCTTCGTAGGAACTTCACATTTGATTCCTAATACCTACTACTTATGTTTGCCCCCATAAGTAGCACACACCATAGTATCATAGGACTGTTCTAACATCACAGCAATCTATTCCGCCCAAGCCAACCAATTGAAGTTTAAATAAAGAATACAAAAATCTGAAATGACAGCCGCCACCTTAAGTTGTAAAGTAAAATAAGACTAAAACAGTCGATAAAACTCACTGAAAAAAGTAACAAAATAAGAAAACCAAAATGTTAAGAAAAA